AAGAAATGCTTGGGTCGAGACATTAAAACTACAACCCGCATAGATCGAAGCTTATGATGTCAATCACTGGATTGTCTCGTCCAGACTTATTTACGGTCAGCCGTCATATTACTCACGATGTTTTATTTGTCAAGAATGATTGCCATTACATTTGCAGTAAAAGTGCATAATTGGTTTTGACAATTGGTGTAAAATGCACTGGACTTTTATATCAGTGTTAGATGTGTGCGAAAAGGTACTACTACAAACACTTGCGCTTCCAAAAACTGTTATTGAAGCATAAATGATCAACTGAAATGTCTGTCTTCAGCAACCCATGTTTGCCGTAAGAAGCGACTATGCTTGTCGTAAGAGGCGACTATGCTTGTCGTAAGAGGCGACTATGCTTGTCGTGAGAGGCGACTAACGGGATCGGGTGGTCAGGCTCGCTGATTTGGTTGATGCATGTTATCGATCCCAATTGCGTGGATCGATGCTCATGATATCAATCACTGCATTGTCTGGTCCAGGTTATTCACAGATCGCCGTCATATAGCTTGGATATTGCTGATTCCGGCGTTAAACAACAAATAAACAAACAAAGTGTAAATAAGTGTAATCGTGTAATCGAGTCTGGACCAGGCAATCCAGAGGTTGATATTTTGAGCAACCACCCCGACGCCGTCAGGGTACGATGATACGCCTTTAGCCAAGTCACGGGGCCAGACAACCCGACCTGTTATTCTGTCTCTTACGAACCGCACTTTTTGTTGGGGACCTATTCTAACCCGGACTACCGAATCCGGGATAGAATAGGTCTTCAGCAACCCATGCTTGCCGTACACGACGACGTACGTGATCGGGTGGTCAGGCTCGCTGATTTGCTTGATGCATGTCATCGATCCCAATTGCGTGGATCAATGTTCATCACTGGATTGTCTGGTCCAGAGTCGATTATTTACAAACCACCGTCATTTAGCTGGAATACTGCTGAGTGCGGCGTTAAACAACAGACCAACCAACCAACCCGGACTCCTTACGGCGGTCCCCTTTTCTAACTGCCTACTGTCTTTCACAGACAAAAATATTGACTATTTAAACTTGTGCATCACAGGATGTTTATGTCCGACATATTTCAATGATGTAATGATGTAAACAAACAGCAAAGAACATTTTACAAATTTGAACGAACTATTTAAATTTCAGTACTACCCCTGGATCATCATTCCATGTGTGCTCATTCATAATATAAGTGACTTGTGAAGATCCGGGGTAGAATAGGTCTTCAGCAACCCATACTTGCCGTAAAAGGCGACCTTGGCTTTTGGTTTCCGGCGTGCCCAAGGGACGCAACTCTGCACGGCTAATTGCGGCGTCTTAGACGACTGGGCCACCCGTGCCCCCGGGTCAGTCGTGGATGTACTACAGTATTTGTAATGGACTATTTGTTTGTGGTCAGGGTCATAATTGCTTAGCAGAGTTGCTGCCCATGGGGTTGACAGGATCCTATTGTCCTATCCCATATTCTCCCTGATTATGATAATTGGTCTGTCCACACCATATTAGTGCCGTCACTTTGGCCGTGTCCTCGAACTAAGCTGGCATACCAGGATATACCTGAAATACTATTCACAAATTGCCTTCTCAATTCCGAAATGATGACTGGATCGAACGACCATGGTGAGATACATGAAAACTGTTGGAGTGGAATAAGCAAAGCGATATCATCATTACGAGGCAAGAGAGTTAACTGACTATAAAAGTGCAGTTACCACCCTTGCCGAAATTCTGTTAGTACACTGTCGTGCAAATTTCGGTTGATTGCAGGATTTGCAAAGCATGGGTACCGACAAGTCGTCATCAACAGATATTTTCCAAGTCTTTTCATGTTTTTGATGAAGGTGTTCACGTGATTGATTGCACTTCGCGATGTAAAACCCGTTTTATCACAATGTAGATCTTGGTTATCGATCAGATCGTCTTGACTGGGCGCCGCCATTTTGTTCGAAACAAATGCAGGTGATACGAGAGGTGGAATCTGATTGGTCCATGTGAGAGTCTTAGAAGGGACATAACTCGTAATACGAGCCCAATTCGGCAAGGGTGGAAAGTCAGTTAACTCCCTTGCCTCGGGAAGATGAAGCGATATATACAAGCCGGATGTTTCTGCCATGACATCCAATGAGTACTATGTAACTGTCACAATTTCATTGCGCTCTTCATTTGTGGTTTTACGTCGCAATACTCCAGTCTTATCATGGTGGTCTAAAATAACCAAGTATGTTGTTGATCTAATTAGGCTTTCCTCCCTGCTGACACGCCGTGATCTGAAAACTGTTAAAAGTGGCGTTCAACCAAACTCATTCACTCCTCACTTGATCTAATTATATAATGACCAAAAGTGGAGACGTCGGGTACGATGACACGCCATCTGTCAACTGACCCATCCTGAGCACCCGATCCATGTTTTCGCCCCTTGCAACAAACAAAGGTTACTTGGGAGCTTGACAATATGACGTGTAGCGACGAGTCAGTGTATTACTGTATTGATAAAACACAGTATTAAGTATTCTCCTGCTATAATAGTCCTTGTCCATTTATTCTATGCCACAGTATCATCCCGATGTATTAAATGATGAACTGATCATGCAACATATAACAAAACTATGTTATGTGCAAATAATTTTAATAATAAAACAAATAATAAAACAAATGTACACACAGTATGTCACTGACAATTATCATATGGCTAAACACTGACAAATCATAGAAGTTATCCAATATGGTAAAGTTTGCTTTCAACATAAACTTTTGTAAAACACGTTCTGAGAGAGAGAGTTTTGGTTTGGTTTGTTGTTTTACGCCGCACTCAGCAATATTCCAGCTGTGTGACGGCGGTCTGTAAATAATCGAGTCTGGACCAGACAATCCAGTGATTAATATCATGAGCATCGATCCACGCAATTGGGATCGATGACATGCATGACAGCAAGCCTGACCACCCGATCCCGTTAGTCGCCTTTTACGACAAGCATGGGTTGCTGAAGACCTATTCTACCCCGGAATCTTCACGGGTCAGAGAGAGAGAGAGAGAGAGAGAGAGAGAGAGAGAGAGAGAGAGAGAGAGAGAGAGAGAGAGAGAGAGAGAGAGAGAGAGAGAGAGAGAGAGAGAGAGAGAGAGAGAGAGAGTACAATCTAATTGTTATTATCTATTCTATATAGCCCATATCTATTACTTACTGTGAATTTTTATTACATCTTGGTGAACTTGCATAAAATGTCAACTCTAGGACTCAGACATTACCAATTAACAACATACATAACTATATACATGGTAGAATGAATGACAAGCATAAAGCAATATTGCGTTCTTTAAAATAACGTTAACTTCATAGTATGTTAAGGATGTCAACTAATATACGGTGTTCCCTCGAACTGTATCAGGAGTCCTGCACGTAAGAAATTGAGGGAAGTAAAAAGCAAAATTTAAATCCATTTGCTCAAATAGTACAACACTTACGTTTAAAAGTAAATTCGTTTTGAATAACATTTCATTCATGTGTGGCTAACTATTTACGCAAAACAACGAATGATTTTCCGATGATTTTCTGTATTAAGTGTGAATTTGGCGCATCAGTAAATAGGTTTGCCGAACGCAAAAGAATGCACCCCAACCTCCTATATTCAATCGGACGGTTATATGATATAGGCTTTAAAAGTACTTATCTCAGTAAAAGTAAAATGGTCTAAAATCGAACCAGCAGACAAAGTGAATACATGTCAAAAACGTAATATTATTGTACCATCACAACACATTTACACAGTGGTAAAAAAATTCAGACGGGTGTTGTGGTTGAATAAATGAACACGTCACAACAGCTATGCATGCCATGAATTAAGGCCAATTGACCTTCGGTCTATGAGAGCCGTACACATGTAGTGACACAAATGTGTTACATAACAACATCACAACTACAGATTGTGCATGAAACGCTGGCACGAATGCATTTTAAAGAACACCTTTCACCATTTCGGTAAGGGGAGGTGAACCAACTCCTTTAAGTTTTTCAGACGCTATTTGTACCCCTGGCTAAAATGGCAGGGTTATGGAGGGCTTTCCTTCGATGTTTATGAATTGCTTTAATATTCAGTTTCGAGATTTAGTCATATTAAATTATACTAATGCAAGCATGTTCCTGCCTAGTTTGAGCTATATGTTTTCATAAAGTAACGCCGACACGTGAGGCTATATTAGTGACACACATTTTGAAGAGGTGACCGGTAAAATGCATATGTACCAAAAGTGTTTCAATTGTTGTACGTATATCAAATTTTGTCGTGGTTCAATATACGAGACGTTTACGGAGGAACTTTAAAAGTGAGTTACCATAACTTTAAGTAATGTTGATCTGACAGTTGGTCGTTGGCAGAGACGTTTTCATATACATGACGCAATCTTAAAACGCGTTGGTAACTGACGTCAACGCTATCGATATGATATCTACACAGGAATGTATAAGGATCCCGTATCATGAGCATCGATTAATTGGGATACGATGACATGCATCATTGCCATCAACCAAGTCAGCGAGCCTGACCACCCGTTCCCGTTAGTCGCCTTTTACGACAAGCATAGTCGCCTGTTACGGCAAGCATGGGTTGCTGAAGACCTATTCTACCCCGGATCTTCACAGGACTCTAGTATGAAAAAGCTTTGTTTGATCATATAGACAGTGTACCGCGTATCTTTGAAAGACTTGTGATCAATGGTTCAAATTTAACATCTCCTGGAGATGGTATTTGGTATTTTCGTTAACAGTTACACAATAACATGTTGCAGTGCTAGAATGCAGTTGAAAGAATATGACCAGTCTTATTCCATATTCCACGGAAACTAGGGATATGACAGTCTACCCCTCTAAAGGATTTTGGATGTGCGTTGTCTCACTCACTCACTCACTCACTCACTCACTCACTCACTCACTCACTCACTCACTCACTCACTCACTCACTCACTCACTCACTCACTCACTCACTCACTCACTCACTCTCACTCACTCACTCACTCACTCACTCATCTTATAGAACGTGTTGCTGCATTGTTTACGTCTCAGCCTAGTGACTTTTAAACTACAAAACAATCTTATGGTCAGATATAAACGTTGAATATTTCTTAAGCAATCGAAACCAAGAGAGTTGGAACCTGGTAGCCAAAGGATCATGTTTTCATATTTTAAGCACAATTACGGATGATTTGATCGAATGTGGTAGAGACTAGTTGGTGCTCTGATGGGACATCATACCAAGCCCAGCTGCAGAGGATGCATCTGCTTATTGAAAGCCCGAAATCCGCTGTCACACACAGGAAATCTCTCTCGGTCAAGCATAAATCTATACATGCGTCTATCGTTGTGATGTTGTTTACGTTCTTGGTGTTGTATCCATTAAGGTTCCTATTTTTGAATGTAGTTACTCCCGAACCATATGTAGAACAACCTGTAAACAAAAGTGTTATGTAAGTCACACTGACACAGCAGAGAGCGATTAGTCATTAGGTAAAGCTGTTTATGTTACTTGGTAACTTGATTCTTCGGCAAAAACGAATGCTTATTATTTATTCTTGCCAATTGTGTTAACTAATACTTCAACGAATGTGTGACGTTAAACTTTAACTCACTCACTCACTCACTCACTTCAACGAATGTCAATACCTACTCTGTGGCCTTTGACGAAACCCACAGTTATATATACTGAGTCACATTAAAAACTTCACATTTTAAAAAGTAATTCCATATATGATATACAACGGACAAATGTATCAGAGAAGGTAATTTTTAATCATTAATGTCAAAAGAAGGATTTGAATTAACAGTGGTAACCTTAATTTGTGTCAAGCACCTACGGTATTCGGTAATAACATCAACAGTTTAAATCATATGTCCCAAGCACGAGAATCTGATGGCACACAAGTTCAGTAGCGTGTATGGCCACCATGTGCGTTGACAACTGCCACGCAACGCCTCCGCATGGACCCTGTGATGCTTGTGAACACATGTTTGGGAAGACGACGCCATTGTTGCTGAAAAATGGTGCCAAGATCTTGCAAATTCTGTGGTTGGTTCTGGAGAGTGCGCAGACTTCTGCCAAGAGCATCCCAGACGTGTTCGATGGGATTGAGGTCGGGAGACCTTGACGACCAGTCCATGACCTTGACTCCCGCATTCTGAAGGAAATTCCATGTCAAAATTGCTGTGTGGGGTCTGGCATTGTCGTGTTGGAAGATCCAACCGGGTTCATGTGCTGCCATAAAAGGCAGAAGTTCTTGTGCCAGTACCTGGTCGCGGTAAGCAGCAGCGTTGAGGTTGCCACGGATGACAAGAAGCCTGGAACGTGCATTGCCACAGAAAGCACCCCACACCATGACACTTCCGCCTCGAAATCTGTCAACTTCCTGTACTCAACTCTGGGCGTTACGTTTATGACGGCGCCTCCACACCCTCGCCCTACCATCAGCAAATCAAAGATTAAATTGGGATTCATCACTGAAGACGACTTGATTCCAATTCCTCTGAGTCCATCGTAAGTGTCGCTGTGCCCACAATTGACGTTGACGTCTGTGAAATTGAGTCAGAGTCGGCCCGCAGTATGGCAGTCGTGCTTGAAGGTGAGCAGTTCTCAGACGGTTTCGAACAGTTTTCGCACTCAGTCTACCCCTAAGCAGTTCATTTCTGGTTGATGTAGCCGTCAAAAATGGGTTACGGAGGTGACGTAAGACAATCTGACGATCCTCTGCATGTGACGTCACACGTGATCGACCTGGCCGAGGGCGATCAGCGGTGGTACCCGTTTGCTGTAGACGCGGCTGTAAATCATAAACAGTCCGTCGACTACAACCCATCGTCCTTGCGACTTCAGCTACGGACGTTCCCGTCTGCAACATGCCGATGGCACGTTCACGTTGCACATTTGAAAAGCGTGGCATGACAAATGGCCGTAAAGACTTTTGTTTTCTTGTGTTTTTCTTTTTTTGTTAATGATTGCTAACAAGTGCGGTATTATTGCCACGTGACCAGTTGCACGTGAAAAACCACTTTTGCCACTTTAGTGCTGTGCACATGATTTTTATCGATTCACCTGCACAAAAACGGGTGTTATCTGAAGACAATACGTGGCCATTACTGTCTAAATACACAATAAGGGCCCACAATGTTAACTGGTCAAAATGTTAAAATTTTAGGATTGTGAAGTTTTTAATTTGGTTCAGTATATTTCTTTCTTATAAGGGATTAATTAAAAAAAATACAACAACAGCAACAACACTATTTTCGCTGAACATGCTGTTCGTGCTGAATGTTGAATTTTCTTTAGTCATGACCGAAGAATATCCTCTGTCGCTGTCCACCCGCCACACCCCATACATTTATGCAACTTCGAAATCTAAGCAGTGTTATTAATAATTTATAAGGAGACAAAACCTTTCATAGTCGGAAGTGATGAACCAATAATTCCTTTATCAATACCAAACCTACTTTCCACTAGTCTCGATTATCAATGGTACAAATGTTACATCGAAATAGCCAGGTTTTTTTGTTTTGTTTATAAACCTTCACCAATGTTTGTTTTTTATTCAACGCCGCACTCAGCAATATTTTCGGCTATATGACGGCGGTCTGTAAATCATCGAGTCTCACAAGACAATCCAGTGATTGACATCATGACATCCATAAAGAAGTTGACATCCATAAATTCTCTTCTCGTTCACCTAATTAAGGATTAAGTATACACTCCGAAACGTTGTGTTCCTCACAATAAAGAAGTTGACATCCCGAAATTCTCTTCCCGTTCACCTAATGAAGGAGTAAGTATATACTCCGAAACGTTGTGTTCCTCACAATAAAGAAGTTGACATCGATAAATTTTCTTCCTTTAATTATGTGTATCACTTCTAAATGCCCTTCAAAGACTTGATATGCAAACAGTGCCAAGCAATTGGTATGTATATCATGTGTTAAACAGAACAAAGTGTATTACTCAAAATCGGGTACATCAGTGTTAGATGCTACTATGTTGTTACCCTGTCTGGCGCTCGGCATTAAGGGGCTGAAACAAGGACTGGTCGGCTCGGAGTCAGTATACTGTGTCTGAGTGGGGTATTCATGTTAAACTGCTGCATGGTATCTCAGTGAGCCAGCACTATAAATCGGCATCAGTCCGGACTAGTACAAGCAGCCACACACACACACACACACACACACACACACACACACACACACACACACACACACACACACACACACACACACACACACACACACACGCACGTCGCTATATTAGTGCAATAATCCTGGACGCGACGTTAAACCCAATTTCACCTCACCTCACCTCAGATGCTACTATGATGATCGATACAAAATGTAAGCTGAAGCAACGTCGGGTTTGATGTTTCAGTGATATTGCAGAGCCTCAACCTACCTTGAACACAGTTGCCTTGGGAGGACACGTACGTGATGTTACACACACACAGCCCATCATTACAAGTAGTCTTTTCATCAGAGCAGTCTGTGGAGTTGACACAGGAACCGAAATGGTTGGCTGAAGAATATAAACAGTGGTTGTTCTTAATTGAATTGCAGGTGGCGCGCAATAGATACATAGTCTTTAATCAATATCTTTGAATCTTTAAATGGATATATTTATTTACAGTATGGAATACATAACAATCTAAGTGTCGTAATGACATATAGACATATTGAAGGACTAAACGAGTGGCACTGGATTCTAGCATAAACGAGTTTAAAGTATTAAGATTATACATTTTCCTCGCCTTCGGTGCGCAATGCTGGAACAATCCGCATTAGTTCGCTCCTATGCAAGCCTGGGTGTATAATGGACCTGTTCAAATCCTGAGTCCCGTTAAGCGATAAAAATGCTTTTGTTAATTTAAGTGAAGATACTCATTTATCGCTTCATTGACGAAAGAAAGAGAAATAGGTCATCTATAATATATCATAAAATGAGGTGGAACCTTTTAGCATGTGTCCTTTCTTTGTTTTATATAGGAGTCGTGCAGGTAGCAAAAGTATTGTAAGTCCCCACCAGTAAGGTGGCCTAACTTTGGTTGCTGGTGATCTCTAGCCCATTTTTATATTGTATTGTTGATTGAAAATGTATTCTTTTTAATGTTCTCAACTAGTTTTAAAATCAAAACTGTGATACTCTAGTTATTTTTACTGTCCTTCGATGACAGATATTTATTCCCTTCAAATATATGTATTTTATGTCAGTTCTCGTCACGATATGGCTGAAATACTGCCGATGTGACGTTAAATATTGACTCACACACACTCACTCTTTGATTTATATATAGTAGTACCAAAACGTATTCGTATGTAAAAGAAGTAGATCAGCTAGGAGAGGGGCATACCGCTTTTAACAGTATTTCAGTTATGTCACGGCGTGTTAGCTTAATGTGGGTGGAAAGCCCGAGGTGATGCAGGTCTCAGACGTTTACCACTTCGGTGAAACCCACGAGCACGGGTATGGTGCTGACAAATCTAGAAACATAATCGGGGCGAACCGGGATTGGAACCCACAATCATAGGTTCCTGGCGTGCCCAAGGGACGCAACTCTGCACAGCGAATCGCGGCGCCTCAGATTATATATATTGTTAAATCTGGTGATATTGAAATAGAACATTTTTCGAAAAACGAATCATCTTTATCTAAGTTTCAGAAAGTACTATACGTAGGTTTTAGAGCTTGTTGTGAACATGCAATGTAATTTGATATGATACAGCGTTCTGCAACAGGAGTTTCAAAACACAACTAAACACGCTATAAAATTTATAACAGTAACTCTGTAGTAAAACATCATTATCTAAGAAATTACATGTATGAAAAATACAACAGTTTGTCCTTACTACTTACAAGTGTACAAGCCTGACCACCCGATCCCGTTGTCGTAAAAGGCGACTAACGGGATCAGGTGGTCAGGCTCGCTGACTTGGTTGATGCATGTCATCGATCCAAATTGCGTGGATCGATGCTCATGATGTCAATCACTGGATTGTCTGGTCCAGACTCGATTATTTACAGACCGCCGTCATATAGCTGGAATATTGCTGAGCGCGGCGTTAAACAACCAACCAACCAACATGTGTACAAGATAACGTAGTTGTCCTATTTACTTATAGGAATACAATATGCATATCATATGCTGGTGTAATTAGGTCTTAGTTAACTAGGGGCAGAGTTGCGTCCCTTGGGCACGCCAGAAACCTATGATTGTGGGTTCGAATCCCGGTTCGCCCAGATTATGTTTCAAGGTTTGTCAGCACCATACCCGTGCTCGTGGGTTTCACCGAAGTGGTAAACGTCTGAGACCTGCATAACTTCGGGCTTTCCTCCCACATTAAGCTGACACGCCGTGATATAACTGGAATACTGTTAAAAGCGGCGTTAAACCCAACTCACTCACTCACTCTTAGTTAACTGTAATCAAGCTGACCATGATGAGTATATATTTAAAAGTCTCAGTAACACTTGTCTGGGTTCCCGTTACCTTGTGCACAGGTGGAATACATGTTGAATCCTGATTCACTGACATAGGTAGTTGCTGCTGGTGGTGTTGTTGCTGGTGGTGGTGGTGGTGTTTCTGGTGGTGGTGGTGATTCTGGTGGTGGTAGTGGTGGTGGTAGTGGTGGTGGTGGTGGTGGTGTTGTTGTTGTTGCTGGTGTTGTTGTTGCTGGTGGTGGTGGGAGAGGTACGGTGTATGCCACGCATTCTCCACTGCTGTCCTTGTATCCGAAGGATCTGATGACCATGAAGCGGTTGCAGAGCGCCGCACATTCGGCACGACTGGTCAGTGTTTTCGTCCACAGAACACCAACACTAACTCTCTTGTTCTGGAATGAAGGGAAGGGCTCTACCTGGCATTTACCACAAACAGAACTTCTAACAAGATGAAACCCACCACAAGTTAACAATAAAAGCAGTGGAATTTCTCTTCTGATCATGATTGTTAACACACGTCTTTCCTCACGAACAGCATTCTGCAACGACAACCGGCGTGGGCCTTTAGTTAAACTAAGAGTTGAGTGCATCGATTATTTATTTTGTTAAATATATTGACAGCGGAGCCGTTCTTCTCGGCTGAATATACACTGCTTAAGATGTTTTGAAGGCTTGTCAAACTAGGCACGTCATCTATGGCAATGAGTGTACCCTGTGTTGATTGATATAAGTTGGAGAGAAACAGCGCAAGTTATCGACCCCAGTGGGCATCAAAGGACAGTTTTCCGATTGTGTCTACCATCTAAGTAGCATTAATTGAAATTGACCTTTAAGGATGTTCCGAACGAATAATTGTACTCGACAGTCATGTACAATGACATATGGTCGTAATGACAACATAAAAGACTTCACAAATTATACTATTGATTTGGAAGATGTCTTGCCTCTCCTTCAGAAATGAAGGGATGATGTAAATCCCGCTGGGACCCATGCAGGTAGCTAAGGTACCGCAAGTCCCCATGGTCCCCAGTATGGTGATCTCCCTTCAGGGGCTGGCGATCTATAGCCCGTTTTTATCATGTTATTGTTATGTATAAGTGTTATCCTTTTTTATGATCCCATACTAGTTTTAAAATCTTTTTCTGTGATAAGTCTAGTACTTTTTACTGTCCTTCGTTGGCAGGTTTTTATATAAGTATAATTGTATTTATAAACATACAACATTGATAGTCACGATATGGCTGCAATATTGCCGATGTGACTTTAAATATAACTCACTCACTCACTCCTTCAGAAACCATCGGGACTGCACAAAGTAAGAACTAGACTCAACTGTGACGTTGAAAACGTTCAGTTACTCTAGCAACTATTGATGATGAATGGGTCCCCAAACAGTGAGATCCTACAGTATCGACTAGAGAGTATGTTGTTTTGATATTGCTATAAATCGTGTGGCCAAATCAGAAAACTTAACTACATCGGAAAAAAGAATGTTTCTAAATTTGAAATTTGCAGACAAGAGAATTGATACTTTTAAATTTCCCATACAGTTTCAGTTTCCTAAACTAAAGCCATTTCATAAACGTTATTCAAAATTACAGGTGCAAATAATGAGGATGTATAGGGGATTTGAACGATCTTAGGATCATGACACTTCAAAGGGACGCAACTCTGCATCTGCTTGTTGTGAAAGTCTAAGGTGATGCCAAATTCTTATGTTTGTTTGTTGTTTAACGCCGCACTCAGCAATATTCCAACTATATGACGGCGGTCTGTAAATAATCGAGCCTGGACAATCCAGTGATTGTCATCATGAGCATCGATCCACGCAATTGGGATCGATGACATGCATCAACCAAGTCAGCGAGCCTGACCACCCGATCCCGTTAGTCGCCTTTTACGACAAGCATAGTCGCCTTTTACGGCAAGCATGGGTTGCTGAAGACCTATTCTACCCCATATTAGGATGTAGGTAGAAGAGTATATATATAGGTTTTTTATCCCACAACGTATATCTTAGTACTTATCCCACAACGTACATCGTAGTACACCTCCAACAACGTATGTCGTAGTACTTATCCCACAACACATATCATTGTACTTATCCACATGAATATCGTAGTATTTATCCCCGCAGCTTCTGGCGCAGTACTTATTCAACAACGTATGTCGTAGTACTTATCCCACAATGTATATCGTAGTATTTATCCCATAACGTATATCGTACTACTTATCCCCGCAACGTATGTCGTAGTACTTATCCCACAACGTATAATGTACTTAACCCCACAACGAAAATAGTTGTACTTTTCCCCACAACGTATATTGTACACCTCCCACAACGTTCGTGTCACTACAAATATCCAAACTGCATGTCGTAATACTGAACAGGATAATCTGTAATGGCCATACGTTATAGGGGACCGCCTCCGTGGTCTAGTAGAGACGTGGTAAAGCGTCCGCCCGGAGAGCGGAAGGTCCGGGGTTCGATCCCAGACCGCGTCATACTAAAAGACGTTAAAAGATAGTACTTGTTGTTACCCTGTCTGGCGCTCGGCATTAAGGGGCTAAAACAAGGACTGGTCGGCTCGGAGTCAGTATACTGTGTCTTGAGTGGGGTATTCATGTTAAACTGCGGCATGGTATCTCAGTGAGCTAGCACTAAAAATCGGCATCAGTCCGGACTAGTACAAGCAGCCACACAAACACACACACGTACATGCACTTCGCTATATGTAGTGCAATAATCTTGGACGTGACATTAAACCCCAATTTTACCTCACCTCACCTCACCTCACCATACCTTATAGTCCATGCCACTTTGTGGTATTTGATTGAGATCCCTAGACACGTGGTTGCAGTGTGTGATCTCGCTGTTAAAAGCCTTACATTAAAAACTGTTTCCTCTGAATACACATGTTTCAGTCGTGCCTAGTACGATCGGCCATGGTTACTTTAACCTTACACAGATACCATGTGTAGACTTAGCCATTTGTGAAGAAAACACCCCACCGTCGTTAGATAATATTCCCAGCATCCGAGGTGTTGATTGATTCAAGAACAAATTTGGCGTCAGCAAATATACTCCAGCATTTGTAATTTTATAGAAATATTTATAGAAAAATTGGTAATCATTATTCGATATGGAGTACACTGCTCAGCAAAAGAAAGTAAACACCTTCAAGTATGTTTGACGGTGGCGAAAAATGAAAGAAACAAACATAGATGTGTTTTGGACCTTACGTTTGGGGTGTTTCCATGACTGTTTTCATGAAAGTCAGTCAGTCAGTCAGTCAGCCAGCCAGTCAGTCAGTCAGACAGTCAGTCAGTCAGTCAGTCAGTCAGTCAGCCAGCCAGCCAGCCAGCCAGCCAGCCAGTCAGCCAGCCAGCCAGCCCGCCAGTCAGTCAGCCAGTCAGCCAGCCAGCCAGCCAGTCAGCCAGCCAGCCAGCCAGCCAGTCAGCCAGTCAGCCAGCTAGTCAGCCAGCTAGTCAGCCAGCCCGCCAGTCAGCCAGTCAGCCAGCTAGTCAGCCAGCTAGTCAGCCAGCCAGCCAGTCAGCCAGTCAGCCAGCTAGTCAGCCAGCTAGTCAGCCAGCCAGCCAGCCAGCCAGCCAGCCAGCCAGCCAGCCAGTCAGTCAGTCAGTCAGCCAGTCAGCCAGCCAGCCCGCCAGTCAGCCAGTCAGCCAGCCAGCCAGCCAGTCAGTCAGCCAGCCAGCCAGCCAGCCAGTCAGCCAGTCAGCCAGCCAGCCAGCCAGTCAGTCAGTTAGCAGCCAGACAATCAAGGAACGGGCAATTATGTTTTTTCCATGTAGACCTCTCATGGAGCCCACTCATGTAGGCCGCTGCGAAATCAATCGGAAGACACCTTAGGTCACATGCCTATCTCGCATAAGTAGGATTGAGCTGAAAAGAGCCGATGTTTATTCGAATGCATTCGGTAAAGGGAAGTAAACATTCGCTTGCGTTGCCTTGAGCTGAATCAAAGAGTTTTAAACAGTGAAACTTCGGACATATATTCCGGGTCGGTATGTAGTCAAAGAAGAAGGAGCGTTGTGAGAGATCTACTCTGGGGAATTTCCATCTAAGAGTGTATGGAAAAGCATGGTACAACGAGCTATAAGTGAGTCTGAAAATATGAATTGGAGAAATACTTTGCATCAACGTCCAGACATGCATATGTTTAGTGCTATCCACACCTGCCTTGCCCCACATCGTCTCTGGTCTCTGTGTGTATGGTATGATATTGCTTCCCCCCCTGTATATGCTCTTGTAGAGCTCGGCATATTACCTGTAACGTCTGGACTGTGTCTTATCTGTAACTGTGAATGTGATGACATTGTTAAGCACCAATTGCTTTACTGTGCCTAATGAAACAGAGAAATGTGCTTAGTGAGTCTCTATTTGACAATGTTAGCCTTGAAACATATCTCAGACTTGAGGACACGTCTAGTCATGCCGTCAAGATTCTGACATACCTCGTTGCTATTACAGATGTGGTCCAGGACATGACACTTGACAGCTGGGCAACATTCATGAGTATCGTGGCTAAACATGTCAGCTCATGGAACTTAACATCCATATTGTATTTGTGAAGCTATGTCACACATCATGTAAATATAGTTTCACGCATCACTTCATTACTGCTTACCCAGCTCAATCTGTTGTATTTACATGTATTTTGTCATTGCCGTTGTCAAATAATGTAATGTAATTGTATGTACTACTCTCCAAATCATTGGGGGAAATAAAGAGTATTCATTCATTCATTCATTCATTCATTCATTCATTCATTCATTCATTCATTCATTCAATAAAATAAGAACACCATGTCCACAATTACTTAAAACTTGAAAATAATCCCACATCATCTACAACTTATCTTCATTTACATATATTTGTTAGATTATATATGTTTGTTTTTTTCAAAATGAAGCCAGTATGAAAGAAATTGTATACATGTACATTAAAAAGGCCAAACTGCATGAATTGTCAGACTGCCCTTATGGAAAGTTTCAGAGTGAGTAAGATGGGGCTTAACGCTACTTTTAGAAGTATTAAAATTTTATCACATCATGTATTATAATGCTTATTATAGAGTGAAATCCCATGTGGACCTGAGAGACGATAGTCATACTCGGATTTGAACACAAGACCAGCAGATTGTACCCAGAGTAAAAAAATCGAAATGTGGAAAATTAACGTCTTCACCATCCAATACGAAGGAAAGATTTTATATTAAACACAGCCCTACTAGAATGTGTTCTCAGGTACCAATCCCTAAAGGAGGCATGAAGATTCGGGTTACAATTGATAATCAGCAATGCCTGTCGTAAGAGGCGACAAACGGGGTAGGGAGGTCAGGCTGCTGACCTGCTTGATGCATATCATTGTATCCCGATTGGGTAGATCGATGCTCATGATGTCAATCCCTGAGTTGTCTGGTCTAGGCACGATTATATACAGACCGCAGTCATATAGCTGGAATATTCCAGAGTGCGGCGTTAGACAACAAACACAGACACACACAAAACACGG